CAGGGCAGAGCAAAGGAACTCCCCCAGCTGCAGCCAACCCCTACCCAATGTCAGTCCTGTTTTACCCTGAAACAAGCAAGTTTCACTGGTTATGTAGCTCTGGCTAAAATTGCTTTTATTCCAGGCTGGAGAGCAGCACAGGAGGTGTTCTGGATCTACACCCTCAGGTATGTGATGACAAACATTTGCACTCTGGGACACTTAGGAATCTTTCTTCAGTTTCCTTACTCCTCTTGGGGTTCATTGCTGCCCAGACTCAGCCTCAAAATCCCCATCAGGGCACTGAGATGAGGGTGCAGGGGGCTGTGTGTGGGGAGGAGGAGGAGGAGGGTTTGCTGGGCAGGACTGTGGACTCAGAGCAGTAGGGAATTGATCTCCAAGGGCTTCCCAGGGGTGGAGCAGCTGAGAGCAAGGGGAACAAGAAGAGAAGAGCCAACAGCACTGCCCTGGGAGGCTGCACTGCAGGTGTGTCTGTCACCTGTGCCAGCAGAGTCTGTTCCTTGGTGTGACCCAGCAAGGAAAATGAACCTCAGAGAGTTCCTGAGCTGAATGATTAATGTCTCTGGAGAATGGAGAGGCTTGAAAAATGGGGGAGGATGGAGGGGGGGAAAGCAAACCTGCCCCTGGAAGCACTGTCAGGGTGGCAGGTGAACTCTGCCTGAAAGGGAGTGGGAGAGGTTAAAGATGGTGTCCTCTGCCATTGGATGCATTGGGAGGACTGGAAATGGCTTTAAGATGGGACAGGGGAGATTCAGATTGGAGATTAGAAATAATTTTCCCTGTCAGGGTGTTCAGGCACTGGAATATTGCCCGGGGATGTGGTGGAGTCACCATCCCTGGAGGTGTTCAAGAGGTGTCTGGATATGGTTTAGAGGTTCCAGCAGTGACAGGTTAGTGGTTGGACTTGATGATCTTGAAGGTCTCTTCCTACCTTGATGACTCTATGGTTCTATGACTCTCTGGAGCTCTCTCAGTGCAGATTTCCCTCCTCACCTGCAGAGCACAGGCTGTGGCTACAGCAGGGACAGCTCTGCCTGTTCTCTGGGCCCAGGGGCAGTTGTGCTCCTGTGCCCTGGTGACAATACATCCTCCTCCTCCTCAGGCTTCACTGTGGTCTGATAAATGCTCTTAGCTCTTGAGCTAAGACACTGTGTGTTCCCAGGAGCTAGTGCTGCCCAAGATGCTCCTGGGTCTAACAAACAGCCTTGGAAACTGAGTTTTCTTGCCTGAATAACAACCCAAGTGGAAAAATGATTTTATTACAGAATGGGCAAAAAGGTTATGGCCAGGCTGGAAAATTACTGATTAAAGGCTGTTAAGTCTAAGTGCTGTTAAAACTTTAAGCATGAACTGTAGGTCTAGTATGGGGCTCAGCTTAGCATTCTGACCCTTGTGATTCTTCCTTTTCATTCTTACCCTTTCCTACCCTGATCCCTTTTTTCCCCTCTCACCCCACACACAGATAATTTTGGGGTTATTTTGGTGGTAGATTGATTGATTTTTGAATTTGAGTTTGCTTTTCCTCTGTGCTTTAACCACTTATTGGATAGCAGAGTGAACCTTGTTGTGCTTTCTCTTCTACACCAAACCTGCTCTTGCTGCTCCCTTTGCTGGGGATTCCTTAAGTGACCCTAAAACATTTGTTTGTGGCAGCTCTGGAGGCTGCATAGATCTTTTTTTGAAAGCTGAGATTCTCATTAGCATTTGGGGCTTTAAAAGGAAGATTTGTACTCAACGGAGAGGGTGAAATAATTCCTTAGAGCAAGATTTGCATCATGTGGGTGGCAGGGGAAAACAGAGTTTTTTGGGTTAGGTGTCAGTAATGTTTTAGACTGACATTAAATGTTATGCTGAAAACTCCATCAGGTCCAATATATTGCAAGGTGAAGCCTCACCCAATCCCTCAGCTATCCCATTGAGGTGATAGTGTTGTAACACACTTATTTTCCAGGTTTGAAGCTGAAATCTCAACCAATTCAATACACCCCTAAGGGAAGTTTCCATTTGTACTGAGTTAGAATTTCTGGTGGAAAAGTTTCAGTTCCTTTCAATGTGAGGCCCTTTCTCCCTGAGTAAACTTCAGTTAGCAGAATCCTTTAGACACATGAGCTCTTTGGTACAACTCACAGCAAATGCAGCTTCTATCACACCCATTGGCAGAAATATTTGGTTTATCCTCCCCCAAAGCCTGAGGATTTCATGCTACACAAGTCAAACTCATTGGCCTTCAAGTCCTTTCACGAGGTGTCTGGCAACACTGTCACTGTCCTCTGAAGCTGCAGTGTGGGTAGATCTTCTGCAGGTGTAATTTATTACCTCATGGACTTTTGGGGAAGGTTTTGAGATGATCACAGAAAAGCATCAGAACTCCAGCAGCTTGTTCCAACCCTCTTCTCCTTCTCCAGGGGAACTTTGGCTGGTGGAGCCTTTTTTTCCTGGATCAATGACCAGGAAAGGTGTAAGGAATGGTCCTGAAAGGAGAATTGAGGGAAACACCTCCTGGAGTGGTTTAACTGCCTGTAAACACCGTGGGAAAGTTCACCTGCCCCAGGTAGAGCTGTGTGAGCCTCTCCTGCTCAGCCTTCCCATGGTCCAGACTCTGCTTGGCTCCTGGGACTTGCAGTGACCCCAAGTTACTGCTTGTTCTGGGCCATGTCCTCTGCTTCGCTCCCGTCGCTCTCTTCGGTGTCACTTCGGGTGTCTTGTCTCTTCTGAAGGGAAGAAACACAGTTCAAATGAGCTGCAACACCCACACCATGGTGTGTCCCAGAGGGACATTCACTGCTTTGGGGGCTCATCTGACAGGAACCCAAAGCCACCAGGTGTGATTGTGTCCCAAGAGCAGGAGCTGACTGGGCCCTGCACTGGGAGCTCACTTAGCTGCCAGGGGGTGACTTTCTCCCCTAACTTTTGGTCACAAGGACAGAAAGCTGAGCAGGAGCCAGCAGTGTGCTCAGGGGGCCAAGAAGGCCAATGGCATCCTGGGCTGGAGCAGGAACAGTGTGGTCAGCAGGACCAGGAGGGGATTCTGCCCCTGCACTCGGTGCTGGTGAGGCCACACCTTGAATCCTGTGCTCAGCTCTGGGCCCCTCAGCTCAGGAGGGACATTGAGGGGCTGGAGCAGGTCCAGAGCAGAGCAACGAGGCTGGGGAAGGGACTGGAGCACAAGTGCCATGAGGAGAGGCTGAGGGAGCTGGGGGTGTTCAGCCTGGAGCAGAGGAGACTCAGGGGAGACCTTAGCACCCTCTACAACAACTCCCTGACAGGAGGTTGGAGTCAGGTGGGGGTTGGTCTCTTCTCCCAGGCAACCAGCAGCAGGACAAGAGGGCACAGACTCAAGCTCTGCCAGGGGAGGGTTAGGTTGGATATTAGGAAGAGATTTTTTCCAGAGAGAGTGCTCAGGCATTGGAATGTGCTGCCCAGGGAGGTGGTGGATTCACCATCCCTGGAGGTTTTCAAGCTGAGACTGGATGTGGCACTTAGTGCCATGGTCTGGTAACCACAGTAGGGTTGGACTTGATGATCTTTGAGGTCTCTCCCAACCTGGCTGATTCTATGATTCTATGATACAGAATGGGCTCCTCTTTCTGCAATCCCCTGCTGCTCCACTGAGTGTATTCCACATCATTTCCTCAGCAAAACTACTTTGCTTGGAATTTAGCTTCCATGGAGGGGCAGTTCCAGGCACTGTGGAGGTTTTTTTCCTGGCCACAGATCCCCCAAAGCTTTCATAAATCCTCTCAGATGACCTCTGCTTACATGAGCAAGGCATGGTGCAGCCTCTCTGGTGACAAATTTTGTCCCAGCAATCCCTAGACAGACTCTGGAATGCATGGGGAGCCTGTGGAAGGCACCCAACACCCAGAGATGATGACACTTAGTGTGCTGGTACAAGGTTTACCTGGTTGCTCCTTCCTCACTCCACTTTGGACATATCAACAGGTTCTCCTTCTCCCAAACCACCTACTGAGAAGCCTTTGGGCAGTGAGGAGTGAGGACTGTGGTTGGCTCCCATGGCACTAGGGCACAGCTGCAAACTAGGAGTGAGTTCCTGCTCTGATCTCCATGAGCAAAGTCATGCACACAGCTGCCAACACATGCCTTCAGGAGCTCTTGGGCTGCTGTTGGGCAGACCCACCTCCCAGCCCTTCCCTGCAGGCAGGCAGGAGTCACCCTGGACCCTGAGGTCTCTCCTGAGCAGTGGTGGCACAGAGGAGACAATTTCCTTACCGCACCACAGAGGATGACATTGAAGGTCATCCGGAGGATCAGGTAGGACCAGAAAATGTGTAACAGCAGCAGGACCATCAGGAAAGCAGTCATCACACAGCTGATGGGGTACAGGGGCAGCTTGCTCACAAGGTAGTAGTATATGCTGTGGGAGAGAGGGAGAGGCAGGTGAGAAGACACAAGACTAAACCAGGTCAAGTATCTTCACACTTTAAAGGTCAAGTGTCTCTCTGGCTGCTGTGCCCCCAGGGCAGAGCAGAGCTGCACCATCAGGCCAAAATCAGCAGTGATGTGAGAACTGACCTGTCTCAAATCCTATCAGCAACCTGTAGTGCTCCCCAGCAGGAAGGAGCTGGCAGCATTTCTCCAGTTTGGAGAGGAGGGATGGACAAAAATGAAGGCACCAGGACACCTCTCTGCTGGAAGTTCAGTGAAAGGTTCTAAGCTGAAGGTAGGGAAGAGCTGGGGGTGCAGAAGAGCAGCTGGGCAGGGCATTGCTGAGAGCAGAAGTCACAGAAAAGTCTGTGTCACCAGTGATGGGGACAGAAAGGAGCACAGCATGGGTCTGGGAATGGAGAGCAGCCAGCACAGAGCAGTTCAGTGCAGGAGAGAAACAGTGAGTGCTAAATGTGTCCTCCTCCTCCACTTACCTAGGACATGACAGGGAACCTGCACTGGAAGCTAGTGAACAGTGCTGGACACAGTGTGTGCTCTGCTCTTGCCTTCCTGGGTATCTGCTGCTGGTGCCAACTTCAACAGACCCTGAGTCTGCCCTGGGACAGCTCATGGGAATCACAGAGCATCCTGAGCTGGAATCCCTTGTGGGATCTGCTGCAGCTGCATGGAGCATCAGAGCATCAGTGAGCCCCAGGTGAGAAACAACCCCTGCCTGGCAGGGGTGGTGAGAGCATGGCAATGGAGGGGCAGAGGCTGTGGCTCTAGATTAATTGAGTTAATTAATGATGAATAGAGTTCAAAACTTACTGGTTTATTTCATTGGGCTTCTCAGTTTTACTTGAGTTAGTCTTTGAAGTTGCCTGTAGTGTCCTGCTCTCTACCTTCCCCCCTCCTCAGCACAGAGGGGTGACCTCTCCAGGAGCTCAAACAGTGCCCAACACTCATGTTCAGAGAAGAGCAAAACACAACTCACAGCAGTGGGAAGAGGACGAGTCGAGAGGTGATGAAAACCACAGCAAAAATGAGGAAGGCTCCTTCACAGGCTCTCTTGTACTTCAGGTAATGGAGCATCTTGGCCAGCTGCAGAGAAACAGATCTCCACATGTCCCTCGTGCCTGTGCATTCCTCGTGGGGCCTGAGGGATTTCCCACACCCTGCAGGGCTCACCAGGCTTGTGGGGACCTGTCCCAGGCCTTTGCACCCCATCACTTACCTCCAAGATATAATCAGAGGCATCATGGAGCACCATGACCATCACCCCAAACCGTATGAGATTGGCACAGTAGGAAACAAAGATCAGAGTGATGGTGGCAATGTGGTGGATGATCTGTTCCTTGAAGTCCTGGCAGGAGAAGAGAGATTGTCAGTCTTGACCTGGTCCTGCATGCTGCTGCCTCACTGATGTGTCCAACACCTCAGTGTCCCTGCCCAGGGCAGGGGGTGGCACTGGATGATCTCTGAGGTCCATTCCAACCCCTGAACAGTCTATGACACCCCTGGGGAGCTGAGGGGAGGGAACAGCCTCGTGGTGGGGACTGACTGAGCCAACAGGTTGTGATTGTGTTGGTGTCACTCACCTTCCTCTTCACATCGAAGGGCAGAGTGGCCACCAGTGAGCAGTAGAAGGAGAGCTCCAGGAGGTAGAACCAGCCCAGGGTGGGTGGGAGAGGCTGTGAGACAAGTGATAGGCAGTGTGAGAGCTCTGCCTGGCCCTGGGCACAGGAGAGGAGAAGGGTCTTCCTGAGCAAAGCCCCTTCAGTCAGCCTGCATTTGGCACAGCAGGGCCTGGTGGAGCCTCAATTCTCCTGTTCCCCATGACTGAACCATCTGCTGATGCACTGACCAGTCCTGGCCAATCTACACTGAGAGCAGCTGGGGCAGTCAGCTCTCATCTCCATCTCTGCTTCCACATGTCAAGAGATGTCCTAGAGTGCTGGAATCTCCTGAGCTGGGAGGGACTCCTAAGGATCATCAGTGCAACTCCTGCCCAGACACCCCAACACTGCACCCTGTGCCTGAGAGCATTGGCCAAACACTCCTGGAGCTCTGTCAGCCTTGGGGCTGTGACCACTGCCAAGCTGTTTGTTGTGATGTGAGGGTGACAGATGAGAGGGATAGTAAAATGGGATGGGTGGGTGTGTTAGGAGTTAGAAGAAAAAAGGTTTATCACAAGGCTGTGCTGTGTCAATGCTTGCAGGTTTTCAAGACTAGACTGGAGAAACCTCAGGTAAGTTGGTCTGAGCCCTCAGCAAAGTGCTGTGAGCAGGAGGTTGGACAACAAACCTCCTGATCCCCCTCCCAGTATGGATCATCCTGTGATTCCATGTGCTTGCTGCTCACCTGTTGTGGAAATTTCAGCCAGCACACGGTGTGGTCCCAAGCCCAAGGCTTCTGCAGAGAGAAGGCAGCAGTGAGAGCCACAGCCTCACAGTGACTGTGGGAAGAACTGATCCAAGGAGTCAGTGTGCTAGATCCAACCTGGCTTTGAGTTTTGGCAAAGTACATCTGCCACCAAGGAATGCACAGGAGGTCACCTGCAGGGGCTGGAGAAGCTGTGGAGCAGCCACAGGCAACTCTTGTCTGAGCTGGGGGAGTCACTAAGACTAGAACATCACTGAGATGCAGCCTGGGCCACCCAGGGCAAAGGAGACTTGTGCTCCTGAAGTTGTCCTTCTTTAGAGCCACAGTCAGCCCTGATGGGTTGGCACTGTGTGCAGGTACTTACATCGTAGAGGAGAGCCAGGCCCCAGGTGAATGAGGTGAGGTAGAACACAAATCTCCAGCTGCAGCAGACAACAAGGGTGGTATTTCAGCTCTTCCTCCAGGAAGGAGGGAGGGAGGAAAGAATGTTAGATAGTTCTGTCCTTACCAGGCCTCACAGAACCTCTTGCTCAGCCTCGGTCGCTCCTGCCCTCGCCGGGCCTGGAACCAGCTCTGCACCTTTCTCACTGTCAGGTCACTCTGCTTGGCCAGGGACAGCAGCTCCTCCTGCAGAGCAGGCAGCACTGACTGGGGTGTCCAGAGGGTCAGCTCACCTGTCCTGGCTGTCCCTTCTCACCAGCAGAGAGGGAAGGGAAAGGGAAGGATGGGAAAGGAAAGGATGGGAGAGGAAAGAAAGGATGGGAGAGGAAAGGG